GGCAGAAGCATTTAAGAATTAGAGGAAAGTTGTATGTTTCATTGGTGCTATACTGCACCCTGACAGGCTCGTCTCCTCCCTGCAACTCTTCTGTAAGGGGATGTCCCGTTACCTACAGATGGGCTTTGGGTCCCCAATCTGCAAATACTTTACTCTTTAATATGGATTACATCTCACCATAAAGAGAACCAAAATCTTCATAACTGGGCCAATGAATAAGATCACGATAGAGAAAAATACTGAAGCTGCCAAAAATCTCATTTTGCTTAAGTCCACAATCAATGCCCATAAAAGCAGCTGTCAAGGAGTCGAACCATATGTTACCGCACTAGTCAAATCGACTGCACAAGACCTCTTTAAAGCATGAAAAAGCAAAAATGTCACTTTTGAGAACAAAGGTGCCCTTGATGCAAGTCACAGTATTTACAGTTGCTACAGAAGTATGTGAACAGCTGGGCAAGGCAGAGCATAAGGAAGATCCAAGATGAACTGATGCTTTTAAATCATGGCGTTAGTGATGAGAATATATCATGTAAACATACAAGAATGAACACATCTGTGTTGGAAGCATATGCAGAATGCTCTTCAGAGACGTGGTCAGGAGGGGCCAGTTCCCTAGAGGAAATACAGGGTCACCTTCAAGGAGGTGGACTGTCCCTGGGACTGGAACCATGGGTTCAAAGAAAGGAGCTGTGCGGGTGGCCCAGGAGCAGGCAGGGTCTCGTCAGAGCCAAGATGGAGTGGCACTGACGTGTGTGCACGTCTTCACCCTCTTCTCTATTTCATGTTACCAACACTGCGTTAGTGAACAATCACTTGAAGTGGTTATATATCCCAGTGCGTTCCCTGGGCATACTACTGTAGGACAGAGACGGTTCGCAGCTTTTCCACTGTCATAAAATAATGCTTGATAAGCACCTTTCTTTTAAATGTATAGTTACTGGTCAGAGGAAATGCAAATTTAAGACATGCTGCTTAGTCAAAGGTGATTTTTGGTTAAGTTAAAGTTCTTGTCACATATGTGATGAATCTAACGGTATGAAAAGGAATGTGGTAAAAGGCATACATACACACCCTACAAAAATAAACAGTAGGATATTCTACAGCTGCACATCTCACTTTTTATCTCAATAGATCTTAGCAATAACCCCACCATGCCATAAGTCACCACAGAAACCCAGGCGTCCAGGTCCCTGAGTTAGAATCTCCTGGAGTCTCAATCTCTTCCCGGGTCAGTTAAGTGCCCCAACCAGCCAGCCCTTCATCTTCAAAGCCCCCAACTTAGATTAAGAGCTTGTGTTTACTCACCAAAATCCGCTACATCCCCAACCTTTTATCTTCACCCAGGTGTGGAGCTCCCCTACGATCACTGCCCCATCACAATTCCTGACTACCTATGCAATGTGGTCATACTTTCATGATTTTTCTGCCCCAAACAGGCACCACTAGCCTGATACAGCCAGGGAGCACATGAAACGTGGTCGATGTCACATAATGAAGTAACACTTTAGATATACGAAGCAAACATTACAATTAATTTCACTTGCTTCTTTTTCACCTTTTTAAATGCAAACGTTTTTAACTACTCACATGGCTCAGGTTGTATTTCTGCCAGATCATGCTGGTCAGTCTAGATGGCTCTTCTTCCACAGCGTAATTTGGAGCATTTCACTCTGCAACCAGCAATTCACCTTTGCCAGTTCCTTCCCCAAGTCCAACAGTTCTTCCTCACTTTCCACTCACAGGCAGCTGATGCTAACTCATAGTGTCACTGTACAGCAGCAGGGCGGTCGCTCTGCCCTGTGGCTTTCTAAGGCTGTAACTTAGAAAAGTAAGTTACAGGAGGAGAAAGCTTTGTCTCTCTCCCTGGGAGCAGTTGGTAGTTGTGAGCATCATTGTGGGAAGCTACTGTTCTCCAGCATCGAGTTCTATGCACTTTGAAGGCAGAGTTTCCATTTCTCTAACCCTTCCTTGAAAAAACTCTGCACGCTGATTTACATCATTGTCAGAACAGCAGTTTTGGCATTCACTGGGGACTTTAATTGTGTTCCTTTGAAATGTTCTTTGAGTTTTGGGAACAAAAAGCCTGAAGGGACAAGATCAAGGCTGTCTGCCCCTCCCCTGAGAAGAATGTATCTCAAACGATGGCACTGAATCTGCAGCTTC